TTTTTTTTAAAAACTTAAATTGCGAGATTATTTCCTCATAATTATGCCAAAGCCACTTTATCTACCTGATTTGGCATGTAACCCTGAGGCGTTTGATGTGAAGGTGGTTGATGGGGCGACGCTTGCGGTTGTGACGACTACATAGGAAAGAACAGTGAAAATGTGTATTAAGTACATAATGCTTACATAGTGTACAAGTGACTGCCTTAGAAGAAGAAGAGCACTTTCAAGAAAACCAGATCATACACTGTAGCCTGGGAAATACAAAGGACTTGTTTAGTATAGATGGTGAAAATGAAATGCTGGTAAAAAAAAAAAGACTTGTGTTAAAACTATAACTGTGAAGGAAAGAATTAAGAAAACCATGGCAAATCTTGCATTCTTAACATTTTAATATAATTTTCCTCAGTGACCTGGCTAGTGTATTCACAAATTTCGTGTGCTATCAACAAAGGTAGGACATAAATTCCTTGTAAATATCTTCCAAAGATGTTTCCTAAAGGTGTCCTTTGTCCTTGTAACCAGAGTGTGTCAGAATTAAGTGGACCTCAATTCAACTTAACACACAGTATATGATTGCTTACCGTAAAATAAGGAGGCATTCCTCCAGGCATACTTGAGCCCCCAGGGGGACCATCAGTTGCCCCCATCTGAGGGAATCCCGGGGATGGCACAGCCCCCTGCTGAAGATTGGGAATGACCTGATGATAGGTTTATAAGTCAAGTCGTTATCAAATGTTAACACAACTTTAATTTTCCTTTCAAAATTTGTTCTTAATATCCAAATTAAGCTTCTAAATAATAAACAATGACCATTTGTCACAAAAGAGTAGTGAATTATTTGCTGTTGCCAGTGACATGCTATTGATATATGAGAGTACTAGTCAGGTACAAATAATGACATTTTGTGATAACTGAGCTCAACACCTGTTTTATCAGTCATTAAAAGAACTTGTTTTCACAACACATTTCTCAGTGTTCGTTTAAGATGCGATGAAAAGTGTACGCCTCCTTTGCTTGGTTTCTGCCTTCTGTAGATGTGCATCAACATGTAAGTTCTGATTCACCTGTTGCCTTGATCTTCACACTCGTAACAAATTTGTTACTTTTACGGCTTAATTGTATTAACTACAGCCAAGTTAACCCATAACAACAAGGGCCCATCAAGCATGCTCAGCCATAACAGGTGCTACCGGTTGGTGCTTTTGAGTGTAATAACCTCTCTAAATAAAGTTTGATTGAATGATTGATTGATTGACAGCCCTGCTGCACATGCACCTGTAAATTACTACTTTTCTTGAAAATTGTACACGTTTTTGGCATGTCATACTGAAGTGATTATTAAGAGGTATTTGCAGAGGTCACAACTTTGACTTCAAACTATGAACTTACTGAATGAAGATGCCACAAAAAAGTGATGCTAAAATCTATGTATCACGCAGCTCATGGTATCAGCGGAACATTATTTCCAACATATAGCAAGGTAAAAAGCTTGGCATCACGATCATTTGTAAGATGTTACTTGAAGGTGATGTGACACACAGTTTAGAAACAATCAAAACTGTGCGAGATTTAGACAAATGGCATTAAATGGAAGTCAATTTTCTTTTTGTTAAATAAATATGGCTACTGAAACTTATTAAGTTGCTGTATAGGGAATACCTTTCTAGTTTGACAAATAAATAGAATATGGATTAAACTACATACATGGTGATCAGACAGACACCTAAGCTTGTAACTAAAAGGAGCTCAGTCATTGTATTTTAAGTTATTTTGGTCGTGTACAAAATTACCTATGAATTGAAGGAAACCTGAAAACAATAGTTTACTATGACAGAAAAGCACTTGAGAGATACAATACAAATAAAAAATAAAGGAACAAGGATGATCAAAGATGGAGAGGACTGACACAGGTTACAAACAACGAACTTGAAAAACTTAGACTAAACTTTTCCAGATACACAAGCTGTGATGAGGTCCCTTTAAAAGAAAACACCTAGGTAAAACCATTTTGAAAGTGATAGCTTTTCAAGACGTCTTATCTTAGCTCTTAACAAATAATAATTTGAAGTTCTAGCCACTTAGAGAAGCTTTATTGATCTAATAAATTCATTCCCAACATCAAAGATTTTGTAACAGTAAAAAGCAAGTTGTACGTAGCTTTTACTTATTTAGAAATATCAAATGTTATAACTCTCAGCAAAATGCTCAAAATCATATACAATAGTTGTTAGTTTTTTGTCGAACTTTAACTGCAGGCCATAAAATGCCATTTGATATTTAGAAACGCAAGAAACAGGTATAAAATTTCTGACAACTTATCAACAAAATTAGACATTTTACAAATTAATGGCTGTCACTATTTTTACCAAAGTAAAGTTTGTTGCCTGGAAACCAGTGAAAGTTAAGATTACAGTCAAATGTAGCAGATATGGTATAGTAGAGTGAAATCTATTTTTTGTTTTGTTTTCAAAGGCCCCACTCTGGAGGTAAAAATAAAACTTAATTCAAGAAGAGATTATTTACTGACCAAACAAAACCAGACATTTGAAACTTTTGTATTAAGCAGCCATGCTTATACTTGGTTAAGAGATTGAACCAAGAAAATTATTGCTAAGGGAAAATTGTTGCCTTTTCATGTATAAATGCAATTCTCACTACTGTTACTTTAAGAGGTATGTAGAGACAAGTGAGGAGATTTTGTATGCCTATATCAATGATTGCCTATCCTTTGTATTTTGTGTAACAACAATTCTAACTCTACTTTTATTTAGTAGAAGACCTCAGGGGCAGGAAATTTATGCTGGAGTATTTACAGAAATTACACAGCTGCAAACTGTACAAGACATAAACATGACGTCTTTCACCATCTTTTCTTAGTAATTTCCTAATGTAACAAGCACTTTATCAATAATTCTTTCAGCAAAGCAGTTATATAAAACAAGCAACAACTTCATTGATTACAACTACTGTGATTTTATCTTGAAAACACAATTCTCTGTGGGTAAAAATTTTCACAACACAAAGCTGTCATCTGCCTTGTCAACTGCAATAATAGCATTACTATTTTCACAATGCTTGTCTAAACAACAAAGTTATGAAAGCGTGCCCTTCCTATCCTAAACTATTTCAAACACGAACTTTAAGTGGTGGTGGAAAAAAAAATCAAGAAATCAGTTCAAAACGTGAACCTTGTTTGGATTGTACTGTTGGCTGAGAAAAAAAAAGGGCTTGTGCTAAATTTAACCACAGTTTATCACAAGATCAGCGAGCTCATACGCTAACAGACAATAGCAATTCCTGCCAGAAGTTTTCCCAAAATGGTGCGTGTTGGAAACTCAACACCTGTCACACGGAGTACACAATCACAACACATCCCACCCAAACTTCTCGCAGACACTCTCGTGTCAAACTTTATGCTAAGTTGACAGAGGAGCAGAGATGTTTTAAATAAGTCCGACCACCCATGACGTGTATTCAGTGTTGTCAGTGTCGATAAAATAAAACCCTGGTTTATTTATGGCCATGTAAATTCACATTATCACACGCCAACGAGCAGAGTTTATCGCGCGCGCGACAAAAAAATCGGAACACATAATCGCCCGTGAAATAACCTGCACGCGTTCGAATGGCTTCAGAAAAAAGCGTTCTTTGCGCCGTCTCTCTTAATAAGCGCTAAACTGTTAGTCTAAAAACTCCGTCATGTGACGAAAAAAATGCCATTCCTTCCTGAAATTATGCAAATTTTGGGAAACCTCAATACGCATCTCCCCCATAGTTTATCAACACAAAATATTCGTCCTCGGCGCGTCTCGTGGTTTCGAAGCACCGATCATTCGTTCGTTTGATCTTTGTGCTCGGGTCTTAGCTGGGTATAAGCGGTTTATTAATCGCAGACGTAAACTACCGCGCTTCACTGAGAAATCATTGAATTCAAAGAAAATACATTTTGAACGCCTCCACCTGATCGACTCAACCCTGTCGTAACTATACCCTTGGCTAATTTATTCAAAAAACCTTAGCTTTAGGCTCATGAGCATTCACCGACTCTATTCAACCGGTTACGAGGGATTTAAAATTTGAGAATAAGAACATTCAATTACCCGACAAAAAAGACAACATATTCAAGTGGAGCGGTGCATAATCTGGACGCAAATAAACTCGAAGAAGGCAAAACTCGTGTTGAATGCAACTGGTGGCGAAGTCACAAAGACCTTTGTTCAAGTTTAGCATTCAAAGGTAGAACTGAAAAGAGATAAGCTTAAAAAGCATAATATGTCAGGGAAAGAATCGATCTTTTGCAAAAGTTTCATGTACAATAAATCAAAGTTTTCCCCTATCCCTTGCATGGCACAATATCTTTCCGTCTGCGATGAAAAATTAACCAGCGCGTTCGCTAGGAATTTGAATATTGGCCGTGTTAAAGAGCTTTTACTCTCCGATCGAGACGGCCGAATAAAATTTCTCAACAATGCTCAATTTTCTGGTAAACAAGCAACAACTTGGAAGGATACGTTGCATATCGGTTACGTTTTACGTAGAGGCGTAGTTAAAATTATCACGGAATGATTTTGCATTTTCGTTGAAAGGAAATGACAGCGGCTAACACGCAGGAAATTCTAAGATGTAGTGTACGAAAAACATATCATTTCATCTGCGCGTTCTTCTTCACTAAGCCACCACAAGCGTTCAGGCGAATGGAAATTAGACTCTCGTGCCTTCCAGGTTTAAACCCGCAACAATGCTTACAGCGAGCAGTATGTTTGAAATCGGTGATCTCGACAGATTTCCACGCGTGTAAATGTAACAATACACTGATCTAGCGTGACAAAAATGGAGCGCTCCGACCGAACGAATAATCGCTTCGCTCGCAAAGATCTCGGAGGAAATTACATCAAGAGCTTACATTGTAAATTCTAAATTGTCCTTACATAGTCGTGGAAAGCTTTTGCTTCACTTGAATGGTCGCAACTGTCTCGTCTCTCTGGAGCGGCGCAATATAAGTCCCAAAATACACTGAAACGAAGAAAGGGAAAAAGCACACGGGCATCACTTGAACGAAGAGAAATACTTTGGGCGGGAAATTAAAAAAACAACCAGGATTTAATCATAGAGAAAGGTTAATGAAGCACCCAGGATCACAGTTTAGAAGGCTGGAAAATAAAATCCGGCAGTGTTGCGTATAAACGACCATTAAAAACGTAGCTCTCATTTATTTCGCTGTAAAGATAATGAGGACCTAGTTTAAAATTCGAATCAACAACTCACTAATTAGTTCAGTCATTGGCGAAACTCACCACCACCATGAATGAAGAAAGCCAGGAGGTTCACCAAGCGTTATATTCTTTTCCCATCTTATCTGGAAGAGAACGAAAGTGTCCCTCAGTACCTATGAAGCATGTAACCTTCGAGAGACGCTACGCTCCCGAATCGCGTCTCGTAGAAAACCAAGTTGCACACTCCGTGAAAACGAACCAACTTCTGATCAAGTTTACCTCGTTAAGAAAAGTCTGTGCGCTCTTTTGCGCTCCCACATGTAAAAGGTACTCGTACACATACAAGGCCAGCCTACGGAAGAAGTAGAACATTTGATAAGCCAGTTACGCTTCATCAGTGTACAGACACAGCGGACAGCTTCCTACAACACAAAGCCGCGCTCAAGACCCGGCGATGAAACTTTCGAAATTCGCTCGCAATGGCCCTAAAATTTATATACCATCCCCCGTTTTCGGACTCGCTGATTCCATTTCTGGCATCCATTTTGCAGGAAAAATCAACTGAAGCTTACTTTTCGCGTGCCTCTGCATCCGAGGGCACCGTATTCGCCTTGCCTTTGGAGTACATGCTGTGCTGGCCCTGTCAAAGATGTGTCACTTGAGTTCGTCATGGCTTGTGGGGTCCGCGTCACAGACCGGGGCCTAGCGCCCGTAACTATAGAAACCATTAGTGGATTGGCAGTGATTGGTCGACCGACGGGACCTCTAGGTTAGGAGGAAAATTTAACTTTGGACTGGACACCCAGACTTGGTTTGCGTGATGTCCGCCATGTGTTGGTCGTTATTCCAAATAAACATTGGATTCAGTGCATGAACTTTTAAAAACAAATCATAACATGTAATTAGTGGAATGTGGCTGGTTGCACGATAGACGTATATTTTTTAACGAAAAAAAAAGAAGAAACAAAAAAACACAAAAGTGCACTTCATCACAGTTTGAGAAACGTCGAGTGAAGGTCGTATGCAAATCTTGTGACGCGCGCTTTTAAATATTAAAGTTTCTCTACGTTTTACTTTAGTATTATGAAATTAGGTTGTTGCGTGGGCTATATTTCTTCGTATGCTTGATGTTTAGATTTTGCCGAGACTGTAAAATGTTGATCTAACAGCGTTGCGACGCTCCACTTCTGACAATATGGTAAAATTAATTGCTCATTTTGTCCAAAAAATGAGATTTCTTAGGCTTTTTTGTTATTTTCGGTTTCTTGTATACCATGTGCGTGGGAGGTTACATCACGTTCGCCACGAATTTGAGCGGAGAGATCTGCGTCTGAAAGATGAAAAAAGATCTCTTTTCCCCTTCCCTCGCTCGATCCCCGTCTGAGACTGGGCCCGAGAAATTTCCCAGTACTGACGTTGCGCTACAGGTATCATCCAATCAGAATCGTTATAGGGAACTCTGTCATCGGCCGCCTGCATCTTGGAATCTCATCTTGGTTTTTCCAGAAATGGGTGTTCTTCCACTAAACACGCTAAATGAGCGAACAAAAAATCTTCCTCAGGGTCTTATAAAGAATAGATAGTTTAAAATCTAGGCCTAACTGACCGTTGCATCTCGTGAAACTTCAGTCTCACCAATGCAATACAGTGACCTCAATAATTACCACCAAACTGAACTAAAAAGGTGTTCTTCGGCTTAAAGTTAGTGACGTGAAAAAAAGAATTATAATTCCTAAATTTCAGACCTAGCATATCAAATATCAGATCACATAGCTTCCGGGTTTGAATTGTTGCTCCTGGGACTACATATTGTGTAATTCGTGCGTGGAAGGAGCTCATCATTAGGTAAGAACTCTTTAAGAATTACATCAGAGCTTTTACCTTTGCTAGGCACGGCTAGTTATTCTCCGAAAAAAGCAAGTGCGAAATTATATCAGGATGCATGTCTGTTTACACAAGCAGACACTCCGGGGAACTATTTTTCAAACTGAATTGTCAAGTGTCCACTTGGGAGTGTTATCTGCTTAGATGGGAGGATAAGAATGCTTTCTGTGTGTGTGCGTGTGGTCCAAGTCATGACTCTCAGCCAGTTATGGGAGATATTCTGTTATTCGCTGTGGAAAGTGTCCCAACTTATGGCTACAGGTCGAACTTAGGATGTGAAAGAGCCATATCGTTTCTTGTTCCATTATTTTTTTCCCCTTTCTCTTTCAAGTCGGCACACTTGACCAGTCTACACCGAAGAGACTGGTTGCAGCGACTAGTCACTTGTGTGTTCACATGAATGGACCTAGTGCACAGGAAAATGGCAAAATCTACGGGCAAAAGGTATCATTTTTGGTTCATTTTCATCTGATAACAGGAACTTGTCTACTCGCATGCACTGTTCATACGAAGGCACCGACAAACACAGTTTGGAGGGACAAGTCATCAAAACTCCCCAAAGGGGCTTTTCAGTTACAAAAGGAATAAAAAAGATAAAAATACGTCAATTAAACCGCGTGGAACAGGTCGCAGGGACCAAATGTGGACCCTTTTTTGAAGAGATTTGTAGCACAGACGGCACAACTTCCCTCCAGGACCTATTATAGGGACTTACGTGTAGTGTGCCCGGGGGAGACTCCCGCATAGAAATGCTGGGGCGGGGGGGCTCGTCGTACCTTTTAGCGGTTTTGGTAGCTCTTAGAGTGTTTAGCCTTAAAAGGTCCACAGTGGGAGCTTTTGCGGTGCCTTTTAGGCTATTGAGCCGAAAAACTATGACGGGAGATAATGTGTTTTCTAGGAATTAGTACTTCTTAGGGGAGAAAACAATTTCAAGTTACGCCCACAAAAAAGGATCTTGGTGCCTCTGAGGGGTTCTTTTCAAAATTGCCGAAGAGCACCTACGTCTTTTTTATATGGGAGTTCCCCACCCCAGGCTCCTGTGTGTCAACCTTTAATTTGTACTGTGTACGATTTTGTGCATGCACTGGCTTGACACGAGTGTCTTGAAGCACGCACGCACGCGCAGAAAGGAAAATTCAACACAACAGATCTTGGGAGCTGTTTGCTTCTCTGATAAAACGTACATCAATTTTTACTTCAGTGTGGGACCAGTCGTCCCGAGGGGGGAGGGGGAATCGATCGGTGGCTTGCCATCGGCAAACGTGTAATATATATGGTTGAGCCAACAAAAAAGGGTACTGAAGACCTTACTGATCATCGCAGTTATACACACAACTTAAGCACATGTGAAATTAAACCTTGAAAGTAATTCAGGCCTGAACGGGTTGAACCCACGACCTCTGCGATACCGTTGCAGTGCGCTACCAACTGAGCTATCAAGCCATCCGGGAGCTGGTCATGATCACTTTGTGAGTTCGCAATATACCTGTAGATGGTGAAGAATACAAATGAATATATGAAAGACCATATATTTGAACTGTGGAGAATGCCGGAGAACTGGATACGAAGACCTGATTGATCATCACAGTTATACACACAACTTAAGCAGTTGTAAGGGTACTTTTTGGTCGATGTTGGGTTGCCTCGGCAAGCTAGCGCTAGTGAAGTACTAAGTTATTTATAAACTTGATGTTTGATAAAGGTACCTCAATCACCGTAGTGTGTCAAAGAAATTGACTTTTCGAGGATTTTTTTGTCAGAACAAAGTGCTTAGCTGGAACCTCGTACTGCACACGGAGAGTGCCCTCTGTTTGGGTGTATTCTAGCTTGCTAAAGCCAAGAGATCGTTATACAAAATGGTCTATACTATTGATTGGGCTATATTCTTTGTTTGATCATACCCACACTGATAGTTAAGTCTGTCTGGGCACTTTCAGCTGATAGAAGCAGTGGTTGTTCGTTGTTTCTCCAATATTTTTTCCTCGTCTGCGCGCATGATCTCGCTAAAGTGCGATCAAGTTTTTCCTCGTCTGCGCGCATGATCTCGCTAAAGTGCGATCAAGTTTTTCCTCGTCTGCGCGCATGATCTCGCTAAAGTTTGATCAAGTTCAGTACTCAGTCAAACTCAGTTCTACAGTGCAACCTATATTAAGCGGACACCCTTGGAACACTCACTATCGTCCGCTTAAAACAGGGTGTCCGCTCTAAACATGTTCTAATATATTGTGCAATAATAGTTACTTTAGACCATTAACCCTTTTGTAACACAGTGTAACACAGTGTACGATCATAGCCAGTCAGTCCGTCGATGCATCAATCTAGAATAATCTATTTAGCTCTAAAAGGACATCGCTGAACAATGTTAATGGAGTCTGAACTGAGCTGTTAGAAGTGAAAAGCCCTTGAAGCGTCCGCTTATTGCAGATTTTGTCCAACAAAATGGCTTAGTATTGGTGTCCGCGTCCGTTGAAAAGAGGTATCCAGCCGCTGAATGCAGGCTAATTTTGCAGTAAATATGGGAAGGAAATTTTGGGACTCAAGCTGGTGTCGACTTAATAGAGGGCGTCCGCCCGCTTAATACAGGTTTGATCGTACTCCGAGGAAATGATTAGAAATCACGTTAAAATTGTCAAAAGCAATTAGATTATTCGCTGTCAATTTCTACAGGTGTCAGTCTAAACAACATAAGGTTTAAGTGCTGAATCAACTAATACCCTAAATTATAAGAAATCGAAAGCGAATTATCTATTCAGATACACCTACTGTTGGAATTTATTCCATCGGAATACTCCAGCTCGCGCGCGATTGGTCTAAACGTGTCTCGTGACCGAATATTCCCCAGCTAAAACTGGGGAATATCTGAGGTTATCATCCATCTGCAGAGAATACCGCCCAAATAACAGTACAAAAATACAGCGATATTGTACAGTTATTTGTACAGTAGAAAACCTGTTTGTATGTTCGGATATTTGTCCTTGGACATTACCTGTTCCTCAAAGCTCACAGTTTTCCGAGAGCGTAGGAACAGATAATGTCCACGGACAAATATCCGAGCATATTTTCGCGCCAAATGGAGGCTATTGTTTATGTAACCCGTATTCTTGGACGCAGCCGTTATTTGGTCTTCACGCTATTTAAGTGGTCTTTTTAGTACCTTTTCATATCTCTGTGGCCTGCATAAATGGTGAGGTATTATGATTGTTATACAGCAGGTTTAAACAGTGAACTCTTAATAGATGCTAGACGGCATCTTCTATTTTGAGAGAGGGCAGTTGCCGGCTTTCGCGCTCAGCTCCTTGCAATGCGTTGCGATTGCAAACGTGGCCCGAAAGAAATCGGCATCCGTAGTCATATGATGAATTTGAGTTCTAAAATGTTCACTTTGGCGAAGGATTTTAGTGATCAAATTTACGTAATGAAGATTTTGGGAATTAAGAATACAATTCATGGCGTTTTGTTGGAATTTCTGTGCATACACTTTGTTGCGTCTAGCATTCAAATGTACTGAGACTAAGAAAAGACTTCAGTTTCACAGTTCTATAATGTTATTCCCAAACTTGATCAGATAAACAATTCACACTTGAAGTTACTATCAGGGAGAATCTGCGAAATAATCAGATCTAAGTTCTTTTGACTCATCCTTTGGCAAAGTCTCTGCAGTTCCACTTTCCAGTCCTCCCAGTTCAGTTCCAATCCAGAATTTCCAAAGATCACACAAGGCTCGAAAAACCGAAGTTTACGTTTCGTCGGGTTTTTGTATATTACACACAGCTTAACTCTTTTTGAGAATCGTATT